GTTTAATAATATAACATTTTATAAAGATAATAATTAAGTATTCTGTTATAACTCAATGATTATCCTAATTATATTTTAGATTTTTTATATTTAAAATGAGATGTTTGTCTTGTATTTGATTGTGTTTATCTGCAGTTAGTTACACGAATTCAGATATGGGATGAAATCGGATAGGGATGAACGGGTTTAAGAGTTTTTAAGAGTTTAAGAGTTTTTAAGAGTTTAAGAGTTTTAAGAGTTTTTAAGAGTTTTAGTCAAATGCTTTATAATATAGTATAAATATTTTAATAAAAAAGTATTTTTCTCTTGTAACAACTTAATTTCAATGTCTCCTGGTGAGAAAGAATAAAATATTATTTCTCTCTCTTATATATGTAGTTTTAGAGATTTCTCTAAATTTGAAGATTCTACTATCTATTTTTTTTCTTTCTATTTTAGTATACAAGATAACATAGTTGTTGGAGCAGAAAAGTTACTAAAATCTCATTTTTCTTTATTTTAGCATAGTTGTTGGAGATGTTCTTACCACCTCCTAACCGGTAATAAGGCTCTTATCCAATTAAGAGACAGGGTTTTTAGCAAAATAAAATTAAGATATGACTGAGAATCAATGTTGATCGCCACATAGGCATGGCAACGGGGCAGGGATGGGGCGGTTTTTGTAATCTCCGGTCCCGACGGGTACGGGGATTATCATCTCGTCTCTGGTCAAATCTCTAGTAATCCTCGGTCAAACCCCATAAATAGTATTATTTAATTTGATTCTACCGGGGATCCTCGTCCTCGGTTTGAGTCTACTGGGATCCTCGGCCCGATGATCCGTTTTAGAGGGGAATCCCCGTTTCGGGTCGGATGAACCGGGTCCCCCACCGGGTCGAGCAAATCACCATCCCTATCGCACACTGCCATAAGAGAGAGATTGAAATAAAGCTTTTAACAGTAAAGGTGATTTAATACAAATCGATCGATAAACAACGATCTTTAGTAGCACTCATTCAAAGTAGTCAGCTTATCGTAGTGATCATTTACCCATAAAATTTTGGTAAATGTACACTTTAGGGTCGTTATCAAATGCATACCCACTTACCTTATCGTGTAACATTATTTGTCATCAAAATGGATCGTTGGTAAGCGTTTTAAACCTGAGTAAGAGTCGTTTCCGTCACTTAACAGGTAAGACTCTCAGTCTTTGTCATGTCTTTTATCGGGTAAGATTCTCGATTCTTAGCATGCTCAATTAGTAAGGTAAGTGATGTTGATAAACGCTTACCATGTAACAATTTAGTAACGGTCCCCTTAGTTAACTTTCTAAAGGACCAAAGTTGTAAGAAAGGTAACCCGATGGACCATTTGTGTAAATACTAAAAAAGGATTTATCCTTTGCCCTTTTTTCAAGGCTCCCCCCTTATCCGTTGCGTGCAACCTCCTCACTCTTTCAAATCAATTCATCTGGAGCCATGGAATCTTTTCCGTTCCAAAACATAATCAGCGCTTTCAGTTCTCAATGGTATCACCTTTCTTTTACTAATGGAAGTGTGTGATTTAGTATTACGTGATGCCAATTTCTGTTTTCAATTGTTAATTTAGTAAGCTCTAGCGTCAACATTCTCTGTTATTTTATCGAGCATGATTTCTAGTTTGCCAAAACAATTGAAACGATTCCGTAGATTACTCTGTGATTGCTAGAAGAAAATATGAAGATCTTTACTAATCAATGGTTATTGTTCGATCGTAAAACTTTGCTGACTAGCGAACACATGGTTAGCAAGCATGATTCATGAAGCATGGTGTTATTTGGAAATCATCGGTAACCAGTGACAGAATCCAGATTTTTTGGCTAGTGGGGAAGGTAGATTAAAGGCTGCAAAGTGGTCGGTTGTGTTTTTAGCCTAATTCCACCATTTTGAGGGGCTTCTTCGTTTTTTTGTTATTTCGAGGAATGCTTTTTCGGGTTTTTTGATTGATTTTGATAGACTTTTTGGTTTTCTGGAAGTGATGTCTTCAAATATCTCTTTCCCCTAGATGTTTAGATATTTGGTTCTTCATAGGAATAACAATTCGAGTCAGCTAACAATGCTGCTAGGAATGGTCCCATTTGAGCTATGATTTTCAAATAGCACCAAGTATTGCCAAATGCTTGCTAGCCTTGTGTTTTCTTTTTGTTAACAGGGTTTTAAGTTCGAAAAATATTGGTAAGATTGTCATATTCTCTTCTTATAATCACACAGTACCAATGCCTTCATGACTGTTACTCAAGCAAACCTATTTTGCAGTAGAAAAAGACAAGGCTTAACTAGCTGCAATTACTAATTAGTTCACACTAATTCCATGTTTCATAAGTAAGACACTAGATTCATGCATATTTGCATATAATTCTAATAACAAAGTTGAATGAAGTCATATCTACATAGCTTCAGCTGCGATTAAGCTGGAAAGTACAAAATTATACTCTAYTTAACAGCTAATGCATGCTTAATGCCTAACAAAGAGTCCAAGACTAGTTCATGACCGTGAAATCTTAGCCATCATTGTGTCGGGAACACAGTTTTCCGAGACCTGGTGAATCCAAAAATTATGTGGCCGAAAACTCAAACCAACAATTACCAACAAGCAAAATGTTTCCAAGAAGGCGGGTTTTGCACTCATTTGGTTTCATACCGATTTTATTGAATAATCCTCCCCTTGCTGAAGCCCTGGTGACGGAGCCTGAGGTTATTAGGTATGCATTCTATGAAGTTTTTTATTTTATCAGTCAGCTTCTTCAACTTTGTTTAAGCTTTATCAATTGTTGCTTGTATTTGTGTGCAATTTCTATTTGACTTGGAAGCATTCAGGACCGAGAAACTTGATAGTGGAGTACGGATACAAGGTAATTTCTCATTTTACGTTCATCACTTAATGTGCAAGATTATCAGGTAGCTTATGTAGTTTTAAGTGGTTTAATTAGGCATGGGTTGAAATGGAATGGAGTATTTTGGCCCAAATTTACTGCTTCCATCCCCTTGCATTCTAAATGAAATCAGGTAGCCTATGTAGTTTGTGCTTCTAAAAGATCCTATGAGTTTGAACCTTGCATTCTCTTGTTAAAACTAGACCAGGCAAAAAATTTGAGGCTTTCCCTTTTTGGCCCAATCTTATAATTGGTATCAGACCCACCCGAATTTTCACTGGCGGAGCTATGGATAGGAATGTCATACTGTTGAGCTTATTTCAAAATGACACTAATAAAGGGTCCAACATGCTTTCGTACCTGTATGTAGAGTCACTGCTTCGCCTTGATCATTGTATGATAGTTCATCACGTTTCCCTTCGTAGATATCATTGATGGGGAAGGTCGAGAGGCTTGTGAAGGGGACCTGGTTGAAGTCAATTACGTCTGTCGGCGGGCAAATGGGTATTTTGTTCACAGGTAGCATTGAAAAATTCTTGCTGTCAGATATTAATTTCTTTTATGTCATACATCGAACGTACAGTTTAGTCATTTCTTTAAATTTGCAGTACCGTGGATCAATTTAGTGGAGAAAGTTCACCAGTTATACTTCCTCTGAATGAGAAGGAGGTTAGCGGTCATTTAAACATCATGCAGCATGAACTCGTTTGTTTGTATTCTTAGACTGAAAATACTAGCACTAAATAAGTTAAATCAACTAGAAAAAATACCATCGACTAAAAAAATGACGTGTATTTTGAATTTTTGAATGATTTTAGATCGGAAAATGTAAAAAGATTCATCTATCCCTATATCATTTGGTACATTGAAGGTAGTGCTGCTAGTTAATAATCTTTGGCATGCCGGATTATGTGCAACTGATATAGCTAGTTGTCAATTTGACAGATTATAAAGGGTTTGAAGGAAGTCATAATGGGAATGAAGGTTGGAGGTATGTATTCTATTCACATATGTTAGTTTGGCATTGTTCTCTACGGGGTTGTTTGCTTACCTCTTAATAGTTCCATTGAGAGGCAACCTCTGAATCGTTAAGAGGTAACCTCTGAATCGTTAAGAGGTGAATCTTCTTTGGCAAAACCCTCCAAGTGATTTTGTATCATGGGTCTCCCTTAACCATTTTGCACCCTAATTTCATCGTAAACAATTACCAAACAATTATATTTCATTTTGTACTATATCATGAGAGCCTCTTAATCATTCCGACAACTTAATCATTCAACAACTGCCAAACAGCCCATAACTTATGTGTAACATTATACCCACAATTCATGAAAGACAAGCCTCTGCTTTCCTCATTAAGTGGCCTTTTTTGGCTTTTGTTAACCCCAAAATAATACCACCTTCCTGTTTTCTCAAAAAGTCAAAAAAATTAAGCAATCTTGATATCCTTTTCTCTTATTTTTTTGTTAAAAACATTTGATAAGTTTCTACAATTTTTGTCTCATCATCACCAGCTTTAGGTTATTGAGTTAATTGTCCTTTTAAAAATGTGTGTTCTCAACATCTCACTCATGATAGCTCAAACTTTTTAGTAAACAATCAAAAAGTAAATCTTTTCAACATTTTTTGTTTGCTTTTTAGGTAGAAAGTTGTTTTAAAAGATCCCCTTTTTGCCAATCTGTGGTTGTAGTTGGGCTCTCAAAATTTGTACTTAACCTTTTACTGTACATCCTGCCCCCTATCCTACCTTCGGGTTACATTTGCTGGGTGGGGCATTTAGGTTTTGAAAACACTCTCCAAATTTGATCGCAGCTAGCATACATTTTCAGGGAAGAGAAGGGCATTGATACCTCCTGCTGTAGGATATGTTAACAAAAACTTGGGACCAATCCCCGATGAGGTTTGCCCAAATTTTCCTCTATATGAACATGAATCTAACTCTTTGCTGTATGCTCTATAAGTATATATATATATATATATATATATATATAGAGAGAGAGAGAGAGAGAGAGAGAGGATTGTGTGAGAATAGAAGTTAAGGTAAGAAGTGTAAGAAGGGATTTGAACCCTTGATCACTTTTAATCTCGAACCATCTTCAATTAGGATTGATCAAAGGGTGGAGATCCCTTCTTATCCTTCTCACCATAACACTCATTCTCACTAGAACCCAACCCTATATACGTATACACTACTGTGAATTACATTATGTGTTGCAGTTTGGTCCTCGACGGAGCCTTTTGTCTCATGTTAAGGAGCCCTTGATATTTGAAGTGCAACTCTTGAAGGTTTTATGAATCTTTTATGAAACATTGTGATTATGGAAGTAAGTTGTGATACAACACATTGTTTTCAACTTGTAATGAATGATCAAGACTAGGGTTTTGCACACAAATTGGGATTTTCGTTAGACAGTGAGTGTCCTGACCAACTTTCACACACGCCAACTACTCATACAGGGTCTTGAAAATAACAGTCAAGAAACCCCCCCCCCCCCAAAACGGGTAACGTTTATTTGCCGGTTGAGCTGGCAAAATGGGATTTTGAAATGGTCTAGTTTGACTAGTTGACCAAAAGATGGTATGTTGTTTTCCATCCATGGTCCATGGTCTATGATGTATGCTTATCCATGGAATGCATGCAAAGTGATCCGTCATATGATTTGTACATTCAATCATAGCTATTTTTTCTGTCAATCTTTGTCTCTACTACTGCACCATATGATACATGCAAGGTGGTGCCAAAACCTTAGCCTTAAATTTGGTTTTGAGAATCTAAGCGACCGTGTACCTAAACACTTACCCGGTAAGCATTTACCGGTAAAATTCAACACTATCGCTTGCTTACCGGACAAGATTTTATTCATTAAAACGCATCGTATGCAACAATTTGTCATGGTAAGTGCTAACTATGGTAAGAATCATCGTCTTCTTTTACTGGATGAGACTCGAGATTATTGTCTTGCTCTTATCGGGTAAAATTCTTAGTTTTTGCCATATTCAACCGGTAAAATAAAGTGACTTGGTAAGCGTTTGGTAAATGGCCCTAAATTAAATATATGGACAAATGCTTTCATTAATAATGATGAAGGAATTTTTTTTAAAAATAAATATAAAATTAGAAAAATATTTAACCAATGAAAGGGCCGGTTATTATTTATGCCATAAAAATGTGCCTTTTTATGATTTTTTTAATGTTCTTAAAATCCATTTTATTTTTTGCAGTTCAATAATATTTATTTTAACTAGAACGGTGCTTGTATAATGCAGCGAGATTTATCTCAATTTTAATGTTTCGTTTTATTTTTTGTCTCTGTCGATACAATACGGGTTTTTAGTGGTTTTGAAAAAACCATAATGTTTTTATTTTTGAATAAAATATAAATTTAAATATATCATAAAAAATTGATATATATATATATATATAGAGAGAGAGAGAGAGAGAGAGAGATGTGGGTTATTATATAACTCTTTACATTTGTACAACCAATATAACTTAATCTCAACCGTTCATTTAATTTGATGAATATGTAATTTCATAGAAGTTTTGATTATTTCATAATATAAAATATTGATCATAATTAATAAACTTTATTCATCTTTCATAAATATTTAAATCATAATAAAT